GGGAGATACCTGGAGCGGATCTTCAAGTACGCCAATTGCAGTCCTTCGTGCTTCGTGGTGGCTTATATCTATCTCGATCGGTTCGCGAAGAAACAACCGCTTTTGCCGATCAACTCTCTCAATGTCCATCGGTTGCTTGTTACCAGTGTCCTTATTTCGATCAAGTTCATGGATGATATGTGAGTTCACAAAAATAGTATTCACAATTCTCAATTTTTGTTGTTCTCGTTTGATTACACATATAGAACGATGATCAAATAAGAACCATAAAAATGTTACAAATCCGTGAAAACCTATATAAAAAATATATTTTTATATGATTTTTTTTCATCAAAAGCGATGATTTAAGGTATTGTTTCACATCTGTCTATGTTCACCTCCTAAAGAAATTACATGTGAAACTTTTTTTTTAACTTATTGAAACATAACAATGTTTCATATGGTGAAACAAACTATCATACTATGAAACAATATTTTAAATCCTATCAAAATAGTTTTAAATTAGTCCTCACAAAATCTTGTCCTCACTTACCGGGTAAGACTCTCAATTCTTGTATTCGCTCTTACCGAGTAAGATTTTTAGTCCTTGTTATATTCATCCGATAAAGTAAAGTGACTTGGTAAGCGCTTACCCGGCCAAACGTTTGGTAAACGGCACTTTAATCATTCAAAATAAAATTTTCGTTAATTTAGATCTGGATGTATAAGTTTTCACAATTGTTTTCTTTTATTTTTGGTTCAGGTGTTATAATAATGCTTACTACGCAAAAGTTGGAGGGATATCAACGGCTGAGATTAACCTGCTTGAAGTCGACTTCTTATTCGGATTGGGGTTCCAATTAAACGTGACACCGAACACCTTTCATGACTACTGTACATACCTCCAAACGGAGATGAGGATGATGGGATTTCCTCCTCTGTGCTCAGCTCCACAAGTTCCTACCATAGTCGCAGATCATTGTTCCATCAACGAAGATGATTGCCAATCTCAACATCATCATCCACAGCTAGCCGTTTAAGGATCTCTGGACAGAAATATGGGTTGACTTTTAAGTAAAAAAAAAGTCAACAAATTTTCTTTGATTAATTTGTCGTGCTTGTCCAACAACAAGACTTTTACATTGCATGATTAAAAWTTTTGCTCCTTAGATCTGTTCAATATTCGCACCCCAATCATTCAAATTACATTACTTCGCCTGCCCAATCTAAATATAAACTAAATGTAAATAAATTACATTCAAAAAATTACATATACAGAGAGAGACTTGGGATCATGTGAAACAAAACTGTTTTCGTGAGACACGATCTTTACACTTGAAACTTTACAGCAAAACATTGTGAAGGTTCGGCTTTCTTTTACCTTCACAACATTTTATTGTGAAGTTTCAAGTGTAAAAAAATTATGTGTTACGAAAACAGTTTTGTCTCATGTGAACCCAACCCTCTATATACTATTATATGTATCATTCATCATAATTTTATAGGATACAACATTCATACTCATGGAAAAGCACCAAAAAGAAAAATTGGTGAATAAATATAGAAGATAAAAAAAATAGAGTAGACGTGACCATAATATTACATCACTTGGAGCATGTTGCAGTTCTTAAGGAGGGTTTGATACATAGGATAGGACCGACATGTTTGACACAACATTAGACTAAGACCGGACAAGATTAAGGGTTTGTTTATTAGCAGCTTAATGGGACTCAGATTATTCGGTCAACTACACACGACTGCTTGGTAGTGGCTTAACGATATAAAAAATAACTTATTTGGTAAGTTTAAGGGCAGAGCTTTATACAAAAAGCCAAGTTTCTTTCCAAACTTGTCATTCCTGACTAGAAAGGGCACTTGTTTCTTCTATGAATAAACTCTCCCAAACAAAAACCTTCTCAATGAGATTAATCCAGACATACGGCTTTATCCATTCAGTACTTGATGGAAAACCAACCAAACATCCTTAAGTGGGACAAAAATGCATTTTTTTTATTCCCACCAAAATAGGTGGAACAAGAATCAGACAGATGAGGCAAGATTGGTTAATTATTGTACCTATATCAAATTAAAACCCTAAAATCTTTCACAATTCTTTCACATGTCAACCTCACTCTCGTCAATCCAGTCTTGTCTAGTCTAACTCCCTCCAGTGTTGTCAGCATACGAAACGCACCCTAAACAACATAATCCTGCATCTTCACAAAAATCATTAATTTGCCATCATTTTATGTAATACTTGACAGTTAAACATCATAAATTGGTGGTTGCCTAAACCTATTACACTTTGAATTTTTTAACAAAAATAAATTGTAACAACATGAAAAGATAAACAGCCGGTGTAAATTCATATTAAGCAAGCCTCAAACTGAACTACAAAGGTTTCAATGCCAAAGCAGGCAATCATCCACACAAAGTAAAAATCCATGGACATATAATGATGATGTTGAATTTAATGGAATAAAATCTTACCCGATAAGACAAATGATGATGTTGAATTTAAGTATTTGGATAAACGACCCCTAAGTAGATATTTCAACGGGATGTCTCTTTTTGCTTTGGCTTTAGTTTGGGGATGTCTCTTTTTGCTTCTTTTTGTTTTCGTTTGTTATTGTGGATTCTTGGTTCCTCTTGTGTCTAGCTTCTTGCTGGATCGTTTTGTTTAATATTATTGGTTGGCTTGGTGAGGGTGATGGCCATGCCGAAGCTCTCCTCCTTGTCCTTCCTTTTTTGCCTTTCAAAAAAAAAAAAGTAGATATTTCAACGGAAAAGTATAATTTTAATTTCAATCTTTTAAATTTATCCTTGATTAAATTATTTTCAAAACTAATGAAATGTATCACTTTTAAGGAAATTGATAATG